TTGGCATACGTTTTGTGCAGAAAGGCTGCTGTTTGTTATCCCAAAAAGTGTATTTAATTTTTTTGTGAGCAAAAACATTTGCATTATTTCAATTATTACTTGTATCAAATACAAAATCTAAAAAGATATGTAAAATGTAAACAAACAAAATGCAAAACACAAAATGCATGTAAACACTCCAAAAAACTGGAATACAAAAATTCACATACCGGTAATATAAAGATGACTATTTTAAATGAGTGAGCTATGTTAATGAAACACAAAGTTTAAAATAGTTTAAACAAATGTTATATTTTGCACTGCAGCAATGCATACAATTGAGTCCTCAATGGTTCATTGCTCACTAAACACAAAAGCTGCATTAATGTCTAGCTCGCAAACTGGGAGCTGACTGCTCAGAGAAAGACAGGGAGAGGTCAGCAGCCCCTGTGCTGCACACAGAACAGCTGACAGGCCAGAGCAACTTGGGATTTCCGCAAAATAAATCAGAAAACCATCATTCAAAGACATTTATTTAATTCTGACCACTTCAATTGGAGACATGTTTCCTGACTTCCAAACTTTGGCTGACAACCCAGCGAGCGTTTGGCGTCAGGTGCAGGTGGAGTGGCGCTCTGTGCCAGACAAGATGCAGAGCCATGCGCTCTCACATAAGTGTAATGAATTCATGTAGCCTGTAACTCTGCTCCATGTGTGGCATGGTTTAGAGTAGGAATGGGCGATATAAACTTAATCCACAATAGAGATTTTCCCTCTACTGCAATAGAATGGATTTTTCCAGCTGTACCATGATGGGACGCAGCAGCATAAATGATGTTCAGCGTTTATAGTCCCTGTAGATCAGAAATCGCACTGCCATTTTAATTAATACTGAACCAAACCAGCCTGAACAGAGATTCAAACCGTGCCACCACACATGGACCAGAGTAACAGGCTACAGGAATTAATTATAAACACACCTGTTACCAGAGTGCGTATGGCGCTGCGTCCTGCCTCGCACAGAACGGCGCTCCCCCTGCACGAACGAGAGCTAACAATGCTAACAGTAAATTAGAAAGAGTCAACTCTAAAAATATCTCAAGTTGCTTTTTTCAATTACCACAGATTCTATTGGAGTGAAATGTATTTATCTACTAACAATATCAACTACTGTGTCTGACTCGTCTTGTTATGATTCTAGTCCGAACGAGGAACCAGGGAGGGAATTTTTCTGCAGCACTCCGATTTGACCACAAGATGTCAGTGTTACGTATCCCTCATTAAATTTACAGTCTTTCTCCTGGCATTCAGTTTTAAGTCTGTAAATCTTTCATTTATTCATTTTACCAATTTTGAATTTATTATAATTTAATGTGCACATAAATGGAAGCAAGTGAAAAATTTAAAATTTCAATAAAAAATTTCCACTGTTATGTCAGTGCTAAATAAATATTTCAGTTTTGTTTTATTGCAATGCCTTGATTATAGTGAAGTTGGAATACATTGTAGCCATAAATGCTATGGTTGACTTTTAGCTTATTGACATGCTAATTGACCATTTTTCTTTCAGTGCTGCAGTTTTCAGCCTTGGTTTTCTCATTTTAGGTTTTTGGTTTCAGCCAAGAATTTTCATGTTGGTGCATCCCTAGAAAATAATACCTAATGTCAAAATTAATAGAACTTACTGGCTGGATGTCAATGAAGGCCTTGCGAACCACGCTGCTGGGTCGGAGGAGTCTCCTTCCAACTTTGTATGGTGCAGTAGGGAGAATCAGTGGGAGCAACAACAAAGCGGCATCTTCCTGTTTGTCTGTAAAATGGAAATGTTTCACATTTCTCAAGGTTACCAAACTTAGAAAATGACAACCATAAAATATGAACTGCAATGATTTTGAGGTCAGAACACACTGGCTGATATCTTTCAAAAACAAAGTTGGAACTATTCAAAAACAGAAAAATGGATGGGTGAAAATCTTATATCGCCCACATCAAGTCAGACAGAAAAAACTGCCTCAGATGTTACCATAAAACCTACTGAATACAACAAGTGATATGTTTGTTAAAACAAGGTGAAGTACTCCCATTGGCAACACAAGATGTTTACCATATATTCAGCTCATCTCCAAAGCTCCAGCAGATAATAAAAATTTGTAAGAAATTGTATACAGCGCATTTACTGTCCTCTAATGCCTGCACACCTAATAGGCTACGTATTGACAATGAGATCAAAATAAAAAATTTAAATGTCTCATTGTACTTATAGAGCCTTTATTTAAGCTAATTTTTCAAAGATTGTTTCATAGTTGTTTTTTTTACCGTAAATGACAAGTTGATTGATCTGAAAGAGAAGCAATACACACTGCTTTTTAAGGACTTTCCATTTTTGTCTGAGTTGATGCTAACCTTGCCCTGCAAGATGTTTTCTCGCAAGATTTGGAGTTTTCCAAACTCGTGAGAATCCATCTTGGCCTCCTCCAATCCTGACGGTTCAGCATCAGCTCAATGGTAAACGGACTAATCGTGTGTCAGCATTGTGCTTTTTGGCAGGCGCATGAGCAGCTGTTTGGGCATGCCGACAAACATGGCAGTGCCGGTGGATGTCAGAGCAGTTACTGGTTTCAGAATGGATATAACCTCCAGCAAAAGGTAGGCCTAGGTAGTCTCATTTATAGCTCCAATACGGCGCTATATTGAATATCTGTTTTAGAAAAACTAGAGACTTAGCTGTGATTGGCTAAAGACAAACCATGGTAGCCAGTGTTCGGACACTTGCTGGTGCTTCCTCCAATCAGCTCAAAGTATTCCAGCAGATGGCCCACCCTCCTTCCTAGGCTTTCTAATGCAGCCTGCGGCGGAGATTCCAGATCGAAATATGGAGACTCGACAGGTGGCGGGGCTACATAGAGAGAGCTGACTGCTGCCAGCTTAAGCTGATGCAACTAGAACAGCAAACCTATAGTCCATGACCTCATCTACTTTCAGTCACTCAGAATTATGAGGTAACTGGAATGCACCATCAGAGCTTCAGCACCTGGATTTTCAAGTTGTGTGCTGCTACTTTCTGGAGAAAAGCTGGCTGGCTATGGCTAACCTTACAATTTCTTTTATATTTCCATCCCATCTTCAAGATGTAGCCCATTATAAGGCGTGTAAAGGCTTTTAAATTGAGGACAAAGTGTGGCTTGTATAATTATTATTTAGCTGCTGAGCTACTTTATATTGGTACTGGAAACAGTTGACCTTGTTCTAACAGATATGTCTTGTTTTATTTGTTCAGTGGGGTTTATGTGAACACCTGAAGCTATTTTAACGAGTCTGTTCTGTCTGAGGCGGTTTAGTAAGAAGAATAAAAAGTGTGTTCTTGAGAAATGTCTTTTTATCTAATGTCTGACATCTGAGGTGTTCTTTCTGAGGTCTTACTCATGTATTCTTGAGACCCGAGGATGTCCTAAAATGCACACTGTATAACCGTCCAGAAGGACAATGATCTTGGCAATCCACCAATCAGGCCTGGATGGTAGCATGGTCAGACAGAAGCCACTTCACAGTAAAAGGCTCGTATCAGCGATCCACTTTGAGTTGCTTGAGATAATGGGCTGCACCGCAATGCATGCTACTGGTGCAAATGGCTGAATTAAAAAAATGCACTAGTGTGTTCTGTCCCATATCAGCCTAGCCAAAAATGTTATAGTAAACTCTTGACTCAAAATAAAAATTAAATAAAGTTGACAATGATTGTGAAATGCAAATACCTGCTGGAAGCGAATCTATGTCGATGAGACGGTTAGCTGCGTCTTCTTTTCTGGCCATGCGGATGATCTTTCGGGAGAACACGTGGCTCCACCTTGCAGTTAATTTCTCTGAGGAGTCTGGGTGTAGCACAGAGAAGTCCTGAGAAATCTTACAATGGGGGGGGGGGGGGGGGGGGGTGGGGGGGGGGGGGGGTAAGAGACATATTGTTAAACACAAAAACTGATTTGTGAAATTTACTGTATAAGAAAGCTCACCATGCCTGGAGTGTCAACCAAACGTGGAAACTCGGCCATTATTTCTCTGATTGACATTGTCCCATTGCTTCTAATCCACTGGGCTCGTTGGATAGCGGTCTCCAGCATATACTGGGAAACTTGTGATGGTGGCCAGATATTGTTTTTCAGCCATTCTGTCATCTGGATGGCTCGCTCTGGAGATACAGTAGGTTCTGTTGTAGATTAAAAAAGAAAAAAACATTCTGAATAGTGATGACTGATCATGACCTTTACAATTTAAAAATATGTCAGAATTGTTTCATTTCAGCAAATGCCCTAGAGAAAGAGTGCAACCATTAAGTAGACTGTAATGGCGCTTTTACACTTGGGCCAGCTTGTCCCGCTCCACTCCAGCCGGGTTGTGTTCACATGTTGCCGGTGAGGAATTGGGCCATGAGCGGAGCCAGCAGGTGGCGGGAAAGAATGCAGGTAAACAAAGGCAGGAGCAGCATTGGGGAGAGCGGGGGATATCTCGGAAGGAAACAACGCAGAGGAGGTCGCAATTTATTTGTACGTTGTGCGTGGACTGGCTCTTTTTAAAGAAAAAATCTCCTTGTTTGACATGTGAGGAGACGTCGTTCTGGTAGAGAATCACTGGAAGCCGCTCAGCAGAGCTGGGAGAAGGCAGACAGCACATCGGGTGAGCGCCGGTTACAGTTTCCAGCTGCAATGTGTTTAAATCAGTTAGAAAGAGCGAGAGTGACATCACTATGCAGGGCTTATCAGTTCATAGGTGGGCGTGTTGGCCAGAGTGGAACCAAGGTTTCCTCGGTCCGAAAATGGTGTCCGTTCCGCGCAGCTCTACTCGAGAAAAAGAGTGTGAACGCTCTGAGCGGGGCCGTATCATGCGGAGCCGACGCCAGTGTAAAAGCGCTATAAGATTAAGGCAAGTTGGCTTTACCAGGCAAAACAATCTGGCATTTTTGTGGCGCTTGAGGTGTTGACTTATTCTGGGTGTCGCAGCGTGACCTCTTTCGCACATTGCGGAGACATTCCTCTAGGAATCCTGTTGCAGGTCTATGTTTCCTTCCTGGGGTGAACCACGCATCCTAAAGTAAAAACAAAAACACATACACAACAGGAAAGAATACAAAAATAGCAAATTAGAAAATAAGAAAACCAGCACAAGCCTTTGAATGAGGTAGTGGATTCACTTGAAATTTACAATTTATTTATTGGGAGTATCCACTCTGAGGTTTGTGTTTTAATTATATGTTGGTCACACAGTGATAGGCAAGTCAAATTCGTCTGTAAAGCACACTTTCAGTGATAAGGCAATTCAAGCTGCTTTTGAAGACCTGCGATATTCTATAACAGTGCTTAATATTGCGATATTGATATTACTCACGATAAATGAACAAATACTAAAATATGCAGTGTTGATGTCGTCTGGCGTGTGACGTCTTCTCTGGGTTCAAAGCAAACAAAAACTAATGCATGAATTCCATTACAACATAACATTTTTATAGCAAAAACATGCAGCTGCACCTGCTACTGTATTAGTAGCAAAACAACAAACTGCATGCATGCAGTTTCTCAGTGACTTTAAAACATCACCTCCACCATAAAACTTTTTCTGATTCTCCAAATACAGAAAAACATCCCTTACCAGGGTTTTTAGAATAAATACTTTAAATGTTAAATAATAGTTAACATCACTTAAATGCAACAGCAAATTCTCTCATTGCTACTGAACATTTTCTCCACTTATGTGGTTAAGATATAAGGATGTTGCTGTAATTGGAAAGTGAACTGTGCTGGGCCAAACTAGGAGAATATTAAGATTTTCTGAGGGAAAGAGAAAAACAATCGTCTACCTTTCAGAAGAGGAACTGGCAAAAAAACTACATGGAAAATATGTGAAAACGTTTGTTTTTAACCCCAAATTGAACAAGTTTACCTAGATCTTAAAAAGCAGCTCAGATGATGAAACTGCAACTATGATTCTGATAACAAGCTAACTAATTGAACTAGCTCCTCTAAGATAACTGGCTAGCAGAGCTTCTGACTGACAAGTTTATGTGCAGCAGCAAATCAACTATCCTGATTAACAAGGTTATAAAAGCTCATAAATGAAAAATCACTTTGATGTGTGGGGGAACTTTTCCAGGCCCTCTTTAGCAGGGTGGGACTGGGAGGAGAGTGCTGTAGCCTTTTAGCTGGAAGCTAACCGGAGCCACCACCCGGTGGAACACTAGCGACATGAAGGTGGGTTGGTTCACCGGCACGTGTCGGAGTCAGCCCGGTAAAAATGATTACGACACCGAGCGGACTCACGTTCACGTTTGAAAGCAGCGCTGATTCCAGAAACCTCAGCACAAAGTGTGTTCGGTGCTCTGAGCCAGAATGACGAACAAGGGAACGGCGCTGCAAACTATGTTCAGCTGTTGCTTTCCAAAAGAGTCTATGTAGGGGGCGGGCGTATTACGTGAACGGACCCATCTGATTGGTCGCATATCAGAAGGACTACATTTGATTGGTCAAATAATACTTCTGCGTAAAAAACAGAGCTGGTTTACAAAAAGCTGATGTATGACACGGATGGAAATGTTTGAACCAAACATTTATCGCTGTTTTTGCCGTGTTTTGCGATGGGCCTATCACACGTCCTGTTATCGCGATGATGATAATTTTTCGATATATTGTGCAGCCCTAATAGATATTAATATAGATGATGGTAGGACAGTTTGCTGACTTTTATGAGAGTTTTAAATGTCCTTTATTTTTGATAACATAATAATGTCATATGAAACGTTACTTACATAGCCTGTGCCAAGACTGTCCTTTAGACATGGAAACTGCTCCACTACTGATGATGCCAGCAATGCCTTTGATTCCGAGGGTGGACTTCAAAAGAAAATTGACATGTTACTTTATTATACACCCAAAACAAAAGATACTTTTGTACACTTATTATGAAACAGCTTTTTTATTGTTTTCAATCATATTTTGAAAACCATAATTTGTGATTCAACACTCCAAATCCTTTGGAAGAGATGGCCATGGTTTAAAAATCTACATTTGTTCACCAACTTTAAATAACATAAAAAAGAGAAGTCTATTATAAGTTTGAAAAGATGCTCACTTCTCTCCAAAGCACTCAATCAGGTGGGACACAAGTATCCTGACCATGGATCTTCTCTCACTTATAGAAATGTGATGGCTTTCTTCAAGGCTGTGAACTATTGCTCTTCCATCAGGTGTTTTGTTGAGTATCTCACGGATATTCTAATAATATGTGAACAGAGAAAAAGGGTCTAATTAAATCTGCAAAGAAACCTAAACCTTCAATACATCACTGGGAAAGGTTAGAGGGATTTTCTGGAGGGAATGATAAGAATCCATTATTACTTCTGCATGGATAGTAAGACTTACAAATGATGTTCCACCCTGGACAGGAGCCACGTGCTGCAATTTGTCAGCTGGTGCACAAACAGACTCCGTTTGTTTAGGGCTTGAATCCTGGTTAAAAAAAGCAGGGGAAGACCCTACATAACTACAAAAAAATTGATAAAGCATCTATAATTCTGATTGTAGTTTTAGTTACATGGTTCAAATCATAAAAACAATTATGGTATATTTGTCAAAAACACTCAGGTATATACTTACAAAAGTGATGATGATAAAGCTGATATGCAGCTCCACAGTTATATTGATTTTAATCAAATATTTTAATGATTTGAATGTATTTACATTTATTTGTCACAAAAATGAGGTAGTACCAGGTCAAAGCTCAAGACAGTACTTAAAACCCTTTGGGTTTAAAATAGCCTGTACCTCAGTGAAATGTAGGTCACTGCAATTCTCCTTGTAGGATTTCACAGCATGGAGAGGGTGATAGTCAGCAATGGAATCAATGTCCACTGCTTCAATCGCTGAGGTAGGGGAAACATTGAAGGCAAAAAAAATGCCTTTCAAAGCCGATTGTTTCCCACTTTTTTAAAATGAGCTTAGTATTCGAACGAAGTACCACAATGCTCTGAATAGTTCCAAACTGAGGCTCGCAGTCATCTGTATGAGACATAAATAATGTCATTCCTGTCCTGTAGCTAGTGCCCTTGTACTTAATCCAAGAAGGCAGATAAACGTCTGTAATAACAGCAACTCCTTCAAACCCAGATTTGACCTTCTCAAAATCCTCTATTGTACCAAGGAGTTTGGTATATCCTGGCCCAACTTCAAACTCATGGCAAAACATCTGGCCTGACAGGAGAGTGTAACACATCATTATTTGATGTCTGTAGGCTTGGGTTTTACAGATATTTCGAAAGTTGCAGGTAACATGACTCACTCTTTTGAAAAACCCATGTTTTGCCTCAAAGCGCATTGACCAGAAGTGAACAACAGGCCCAAGTTTCCGTATGGCTCTGGGATAGTGAAGCATGAAGTGGTGTTTGGGTTTTAGATGTCTGTCTGGGAAGAGCTCTAAATAAAGACAATGGTGCTTCTCAATGATGTGCCCCAAAAAGACTACTGCTCCTTCTGTTAATGAAGGAGAAAAAATAAACTCCATGCAGCTCAACAATAAAAGAAGCAACTCCCAATATTTGTTGTCCTCTGGAATCAAATCCCCTATCATGAGGGGAAGCAGTCTTAGCAGACACCATGTTTGTGAAGCAGATTGCCTAAGTCCAGTATCAGGATTTTTCAAGTCCTGAGGTTTGATGGTTGATGGCTTGTTGTGGACATCACAAAATCCATAGTCAAAGCTTGTCAACCTGTAGTTCAGCTGATCAAGAGTGACAATTTTTTGTTCAATCAATGCATTGAGCACAAGCTTAATTTCATAACCACCAATCCCTTCGAGGATATCATGCATGACATCAGGAGCAACATTGTCAGTCACATGGTAGAACTGCAACTTGTTAAGAGAGCACTCTCTCTTGATGCCAGTTTCAGCTGGTTTGTGTAGAAGCAAGTCTGAGTGGTAGTTAACCTTGTCACGTATTGATGAAGGAGCTTCAACTGTCTGTACCCTCAACACTTCCTTGTGAACTCGACACCACCGACACACGCTATTGCCTGCAAAGCTTTCTGTGTAACCAAGTATTCCATTAAGTCCAAGGTTATCACCACAGACCTGTGCCACTCCAGCCTTAACAATGCCTGAAAAACGTGTGGTTTCAACATGAAAGCCATTCAGTTCCATGTCTTTAATGTCATTCACAATTGGCTCTAAAATTGTGTTCATTCCATATGTTTTTACATCATCAGCTTTGTACACTGCCAACAAGAAGTGAGACTTTAAACTAGACATGTATTCCTGTGGCAAGCATTTCATTGTGAAATAGATAAAACCAAGTTTGTGGACTGATGTTTTTGCGCCAAGTGGATTCACCATCTCACACTCATCACTGTAAAGAACCAATGGAATAGAGAAATCTTTAGAGAAAAGTGGATTAGTTTCAAATATTGTGCCATCTCTGAAATCCTCTAAGGCAGCATTTTCAAGATTTTGCCATTCAAAGATCTTATCTATTGTTCCTGGACTTTCCAGAACAAGCTTCAACATGGGTTTCAAGGGAACATACTGGAAAGTGTCCCGAACTGCAACTTGTTTCACATTTCCTGACTCTCGATCAATTTCTTGTGTAAAGGAAAAGCCAGGGAGTGGTACTGCCTCTGGCTGTATGAAGAACCCAGACTGAGTAAAATATTTCATTTGCTTGTACTCTGATTCAAATCCTTGAAATGGTTCAGCTGCTTTGGTGAACTGCTCCATGAGGTCCTCTGCTTGTGGAGTCTCAGAGTGACCGATCTCTCTTAAAAAAGAGAGTGTTTTTCTCTTTAAGCAACCAACTACATCTCTGATAAGACCTGATGTGTTTTCAACTACATCTCTAATCCCACTGAATGTCTGAGAGGATGTTGCCTTTAACCTAGCTAAGAAGAGTGCAACTCTGTCCTTTATGTTGTCTTCCTCTAGCTCATCCCAATGTTCTGCTGTAGTCTCACAGCATTCCACCTCATTTAGCACACTTAAATGAGGATCTACTGAACTGTCAGGAAGTTCACCTGTGCTACTTTCTTCTGTTTCAATGTCAAACTCAATAGCATGCCCAATTATGTGTCGTCTGAATGATCTTATTTGATCAAAAGTGCGATGGCACCCAACTTGAGCACACTGGAAATAAGTCGAAGTAGAAAGTATATGATGCACCACTCTGAGATGGTTAAAAAAAGCTCTTATGTTATGACCTAAAGACCTATGACATTTAAAGCACACGTACCCCATTCTGTTTTGACCTCTGACACTGGTCATACCTCAAGTAATCTTTTTAAATTATTCTGAATTTTCAGGCGTGGACCCAGGAGAGGTATCAAAGTCGTCAAGCTGTTCGCATCCAAGAGGAAAAGGCTGTCTTTGTCAATCTTTTCAGCTGAAAAAAAGAAGGAAATTTGGATCACTGATCAATAAAACAACAAGCCACACACAGATGTAGGCCTGGGCAATAAAACAGTAACCATATGTACCGCAATGTAACTTTTTCTCAGTAGTAAAATGAGACTCGCAATATAGTTTGTCCATCTTTTTTTTCATAGCCAACTGAATTACACTATTAAAATAAACTATACCAGGACAGATTGGGAGAATTTGCTTTTAGTTTTTAGCTTATTCATTTGATATTGACAAAACCTTCGACAATTTATTCTCCTGTAAAACTTATTGTATCCTGAGATTTATTTTTAGTCAATATTTTGTTTCTAAGTGGAATTGACCAAGCAGTTAGGTCATTTTTTGTTCTCTTTTGAAACTTGAAAGCTTTAGTCCTGACTTTAGTTTATAATATTATGAACCTTTATTATTTTAGTCACCTGAAACAGATGTTATGTTCTCTAAGTACGACTGTCATGTTGAACCTTTGACAGGAAACTAATATTTAAATATAAAAGCAGCTTCTGATGATTTCACATTTAACTTTTAAGTAACAGCCCATTTAAATTTTTACACAGAGTTTTTTGACTTATATTCCAATCTAATCCAATCCAATTTTATTTATAAAGCGCATTCAACATGGCATTACAACCAAATAAGGCGCTGTACACCAAAAATATATATTGTAATATATATATATATATATATATATATATATATATATATATATATATATATATATATATATATATATATATCGACATTGACAGAAAGGAAAAAGATGTATCGTGATATGAAAAATCTTATATCGCCCAGCTTTACACAGATGTAAATATGAGTACTGGTAGTTACAGTTTTTTACTTTAATTACAGAAATACATTTACTTTATCATACCTTCAAAAGCAGGGATGTATTCAGAGAGGTTCCATTCCAGAAGTTTGTCCTTCACAAATTCATCCATCTTTTAGAAAAAACAGAAATCACATTTGGTTGCTGTATTTTTTTAACAGTTAATCACCAATATTACTTGCAGTTAATTAACAATTGAAGTTTACAAAGGATTATACAACAAAGCAGAAGCAGTATTTATCAACAATTAACACTTGAACTGTGCATTTAACGTCATCTGTTTGGTAAGATGCTGCTAAATCAGTAGCCAGTGAGCTCACCTGTCCGTTCCCTGTTTCAATCTGTTGTGTTCTACAAGCTTATTATTTTATAATGTCCCAAACACTTGCTGAAATTAATTGTTTTCATCTGGTAATATTGCCCACAACACTGGAGAGGAAATCTTCCGCGCTGTTCACAGCCATGCTGCTACTGTTAAACGCTAACAAAATAAAACGTATGCAAGTAGGGAGTAGCATAGATCATCTTTGGGCAGATTATCAAAAATAGAGCGCGTCCAGATCGTTTCAAAAGCTAACACATTATCTCAAGGATTCTGAGGATTGGATGACAATCCTCAGAACTTCCTGACAGTTTTGTGGGAATATCTACAGTTATAAATTAACATCCAACTTTGTTTTGGTACACATCTACATATATTCAAGCTTTAACATACCTTGAGTGAAATAAACCGGGCATTATCATGAAACTCTGGCTCCCATGATTCGGATGGATTATCAAGCAGTTTACCTTTGGCGTGCTTCATCAGCTGGAACCTATTAACTTTCACGTTAATGTCCGCCCGTTTATTTGTGCGCTGCTGCACACGACTCTGACTGACACTGATTATATTTTATTTCACCGCTATGTAGCGCGAGCTGTTGTCAACTGAAAGCAGTAGCAGTTTGCGCGTTGCGCCGCCATTTGTTTGCTCCCCACCCCAGGGACAGGGGTTGTGGAGTTGGCGCGCGTGCCGTTATGTAACATGCATATGAACCTGTGAACGTAATCTGCCCAGCAACAGTTACAGTAGCGGGAAAGCTGCGCGCAACCACTTAGATAAGCTATTATTCTCCTGTAGCACTATGCCTATTGGTCTCCTGTCTCATTTCCCCACAGAAATGTATAGTAGAATTGGTACTACCAAAGAAGTAGTGCTGAGCTACACAAGTAGCGGGAGGTATTGCACAGACCGCAGCATAAAGAGCCCCTGCTGCTAGTGGGGATGCTATGCATAGTAAGCCTAACTTCCTGAGCCTCATCATGTCTAACAAACAAAGGGAGGGTGGACAAATGGTAAAACACTGTCTGGAGCAGATAGTTGTGTCACAGATTTTCTGTTCCATTATATCTAATGAAGTAGATTGATGCTAGGAAGCTATAGCTAGCTAGCTACTCGAAGCTATATTCGGTTGAAAATCTCTTGTAGGCTTAAAATCTCTTTGTTTACTGCATTACCTGCCTTCAACTGCTTTACCAGAACACATTTTCAAACTCCATCATCAACATCTTACCTTATTTTTAAACATTGCTGGTGTGAAGGTCCATGGAAATGAGGCAAGTCCTTGTCATCCTCCACTTTAAAATGGTGAAGCTGGCACAGACGAGGGGGAGGATCTTTCTTTTTACCGCCCCTTTTAACCCAACATGCTGGGTCAAAATGTTTGACCCAATGTTGTATTAAATTGACCCAACTGCTTAAAAATCAGCCTTAACCCAGCAGTTGGGTTAGCAAAATAACCCAGCATTTTTAAGAGTGTAGTTTAATTACAGTTTGATTTATTTGACATCTGTATAATGTTTATTATTTTGTTTTTTCCCCCTAAATACCTAACGTTTGAGTTTAACATGAATATCAGTCATTCATCCCAATACATGAAGTTACACATTTTAAATTTTAATAGGGGAAGACTGCAGGAGGGAGCGGTAAAATCATAGACTGTACATACTTGCTACCCGCCGGCTGTGATCACAAGCGACAACATATTAGTTCCCGCTGCTTCTTCTGTAAACAGCGCAAACAAAAACAAAGAAACTTGGGATCTTGTCGGCGTGGCGGTGGGATTTAAGGGAAACGCTGTATGCCCTATAGACTTCTCACCGAGCTGCAGTATTTCTCCGGTCAGATCTGTCTCTGAGAGCTCCACGAGCGGTCAGCCCGCGCAGAAACTAGCCGCCCCACCGGTCAGGCTGCCTGGCCTGACCGCTGGGGATTACCGGATGGAAGAATGGACACAGGTGTCACTCCAAGCCTGCTGGAGATTTTAAGGGTTCAGATGAAAACACCCTACCACTCAGGCTGCTTACACATCGATATTAAGTTGTCGCTGTTGCGCTCACGCCGTAATACAGTATTAGATGCGGTTAAAGTCAGACATGAAAAACTCCACGAGCGGTCAGACCGCGCAGCAGCTAGGCGCAGCAAGTAGGCGCCGGATCGTCCAGGCTGCCCGGCCTGACCGCTGGGGATTACCGGGTGGAAGAATGGACACAGAAGTCTCCCTCTTTGCGCTCCGTCATATTTCAACCCATTTTGATCTTTTACCATATTACCCATCTAAATATGCCCTATTAATTATTTTACCGTATTTTACATTTAAATTTCATGGTTAAACAGTACATGCTACATGTTAAACTGATAGTTAGCTAGCTACTTCGGTAAACTCAGCTAGTGTGGCAATACGAGAGTGGTCTATGACCTGTTGACGCCAAGGATGGCAATTGTACCTGCTCGAGTGTGATTTTATTAACAACGCCACCTTGGGAATTTCACCCAAGGAATTAAACATATAGATTCAGTTCACTGGACAGTAGACGTGGTTTCAGAAGTTACAATAAGTGTGTTTTATTTTATAGAAGAGACAATTTAAAAGACACTTTAAAAACTGGCCATGTAAAATACCATAAAATACTAAAATTAATGCCCCAACAGGAACTGAACCACTGAAATGTATGGAGAACCAAATTAATTTTACTCACTGAAATCAATTCATGAGGTCCCAAAACAAAATGGGAATTAACTAAACACAATTCAACTACAAATTTAAATAAATAAAGAGGTTAACAAGCAGGACTGAGGCTAGTGATGGAGGCAGGTAACGCGGGCAGAGAAGCCCCAACACAAGAAAAATAATGAAGAACGTATAAAGAATTCACCCCTGGCAGTGATCATTCATATCAACGTGAGGAAACCAGCACCACCACACGCACACGGGACCACCACCTCCGAGGCCACACCCCACACCTCCTGCCCCAGCCTGCACAAAGAAACAAAAAAAGATCAAAAACGGCATAAAATGGGCACAATATAAATCAGCTGTTCCTCCTTCTGAACTCCGGCCACGAGCCAGGGAACATCCTTCAAACAGCTGATTTGAAATGTAGAAAAAGGAAACGAAACAAAACAGCGGCGCCTCCCACTGGACCACGGATAAATCTAAAAGGACAAGGAAGAGGTAGAAGTTAACAAACTAACAACTGACCAAGTGTGGAGACGGCGCAGCACACACCTACCGGTCCTCTCACCGATGACCCCTGAGTAGAAGGGAACTCCCTGCCCAGCAGCAACGGGGATTCAATCTTTCCCTGGTTTTACAAAGAGCTGATGTTAAGATTGTTTGACTCATAGGTTATCTACCTGCAGAAGGTACGTACCGTTTGCTAATGTTTTGTATAGCAAAGGCAAGCGATGATGTCACACCCAACACTGATTAATTGCCCAAGCTGCAGAGTGCACAACACGGTTTGAGACACAGTAACTCTACTGCTAAACAGAGTAGCCATCCAGGTACATACCACAGTTGGAGCAGAGCCGATCACCCAAAAAAAACGCAGCCAAAGGACACGGGCTGGTAACACGTAGTGATATACTTAAAACCAGCTGTTTCCTGAAATGACTTCCTTGCCGGAGGAGCTCCCCTTTTATAGCCGGAGCGCCCTCCTACGTATGGAGGGCGTACTGTTCTAAACCAATAAACTTGGAGCAGGTATTTCGTACTGCTACATTCCACCCCCCCAACAGGAATCGTTGTCCCAACGATTAACAAAACTGAATGTCTCTAATCACTCCAAGGTCTAAAAACTTGTGCCGCAAAGTTAAACCCTGGGGGCGCCACAACCCGTACCCCAACATCACCCACCGCCCGTGGAAGATGGTGCATGTTCGAGTGCTGGCCTGCGGTTGAGCGCTGTGTCCGACGTAGATGCACAATGGGGGCAACCGCCTGCACCACAAGGTCGCCAGCCGGTGCCAACGGTGACCCCCCCAAACTAGGTTGCTGCTCTACTGTAGGACCAGATTCCTGCTGGTCCGGTTGCACTCTGGGCAGTGATGGCTCAGGGGGTCCTGCGGCCCCAACAACCCTCTTAGGACTCAACTGATGGACGTCAGTCCTTTCTAACACCAGGTCGTCGTCCTCCAGAGATTCCTCCATGTTTTGCTCCTGCACCGATGAGGAAGGATAGCCCACTGCTACTGGTGGTCTGGTCCATACCACTGGTTTCAACATTGAGCGATGAACAGTTTTACACTTTTGATCATCGTCCACAGGTGCGACCGTATACACCGGGCCTTCCCCTCTAGGAGCCCTCACCACCTTATACACTACTGAACCCCATACGTCCTGGATTTTATGACGCCCCTTGAAGCCCAGCTGTCTGACCAAGACAAACTGACCTTCCTTTAGTCCGACTTCCCTTACCTGTTGGTCATGACTTCTCTTTCTACGTTCAGCAGCTTCCCTTAGGCGTTCGTTAGCTCCCTCAAAGGCTACCTTAAGCCTACTCTGATGTTCCTGAATCCACTGGTGTACACTGCCCCCTACAGGTTCCTCCACTTTTCCCAGCAGAAAATCCACTGGGAGTCTAGGTTCTTGTCCAAACATCAAGAAAAACGGAGACTCTCCTGTTGCCTGATGAGGTGTTGTGTTGTAACAATACAGTAACTGCGGCAGACAAGAATTCCAGTCTCGTTTCCTAGATACAGGTAACGTCCGCAGCAGATTGTGTAGCGTCCTGTTAAATCTCTCGCACTGCCCATTACCTGCAGGGTGGTATGGGGTAGTGCGCGTTTTCTCAATGCCATATAGGTCACACAACTGACGGATGATGGTGCTCTCAAAGTTCCGCCCCTGATCAGAGTGGATGCGGGCTGGCACTCCGAACTTTGAGAACCACTCCGTGACTAACACCTGAGCCACCGTAGATGCGTGCTGATTGCTGGTGGGAACTGCTAAAGTGTATTTACTAAATACATCCGTTAGCACTAGAACATTTTCCCACCCACCGCAGGCAGGTTCTAACACAGTGTAGTCCATGGCCAAGATCTCATTTGGTCGGGAGGCCAACAAGTGACCCATGAAACTACCTGTAGCTGGTCCCTCCTTGGCTACCTGGCATCGTTCACAATTTTGACACCACGCCAATACGCGCTTGGACATATCTGGCCAGTAACACCTGAGCCTAAGCAGCTCCAATGTCCTTTCAACGCCCTGGTGACCGTGGTTCTGATGAACCTCCTTTAACACCTCCTCCTGCAATGCCTCCGGCAACACTAGCTGAAGTGTATCCTCGGTGGTCCTTGGGAGGGTAACCTGGCGAAATAGAACACCGTTACAGTCAACTAGACGTTTCCACTGCCTTAACAGGGTTAAGGCTGGCTGGGAGAGTTTTTCGCGTTCCTCTTTATTAGGGCGCCTCCCCTTTCTCCAAAAGCTTAAGACATCTTTGATAACTGGATCGTTTTTCTGGATGACCCCCATTTCCAAAGGTGTACGCTCTGGGAATGTGGTTATCACAGCCTGGGTGGCTTCAGGCCTCTGGCCCTGCAGGACCTGCTTCAAAGGCTCTGGGAGGGATGTCCCTGGAAGCATGGCTCCCAAATCCTGGGCCCCTGTCGGATGCAGTCGTGACAAAGCATCAGCATTTACATTACTTTTTCCTGACCGATACTTAATTTCAAAGTCGAAGGCTGCCAGCTGTGCTATCCACCGCTGCTCGGTAGCCCCCAACTTAGCCGATGACAAATGGCTCAATGGATTATTGTCAGTAAAGACAATACACTTGTGGCCCAGCAAATATTCACGGAATTTTTCGGCCATGGCCCACTTTAAGGCCAAAAATTCCAACTTCATGGAACTGTAGTTCTCCATGTTCCTTTCGTTTGGTCTAAGCCCTCTGCTGGCATAGGCCACTGGTCTAACTTTGCCTTCCTGCTCCTGTGAGAGCACGGCGCCTAGTCCACCGTGACTGGCGTCCACCTCCAATATGAAGGGAAGTGAAAAATCAGCATACGCTAGGACGGGCGCAGTGGTGAGTTTTGTTTTTAATGCCTCAAAGCTGGTCTGGCACTCAGCTGTCCAATAGCTGCTCAGGTCCCGATTGGATTTCCTCAACCCTTTCCCTTTTCCGGTTTCTGCCACCAGTTTGTGGAGTGGTGCCGCCAACTTGGCAAATCCCTCCACGAACCTGCGATAGTAACTGGCGAACCCTAGGAACGAGCGAAGTTCTGAGGTCGTGGTCGGGGTCTGCCACTCAGCCACTGCCTGCACCTTCTTGGGATCTGTAGCAACGCCTCTGCCAGAAATGACATGGCCCAAGTAGCCAACTTCCTTTTGGAAGAAAGCACACTTTGCCAACTTTACCTTAAGACCCTCTCTTTGTAATCTGCCCAGCACCATTTCCAACCTCCGCAGGTGTTCCTCCACTGAAGAGGAGAAAACCACGATGTCGTCCAGGTAGATCAGCAACGATTGACACTGCTTATCACCGAATATCCTCTGCATTAACCGTTGAAATGTGCCTGGAGCATTACAAAGGCCAAATGGCATTCGATTCCACTCAAAAAGGCCAAAAGGAGTGCAGAATGCCGTCTTCGGCCTGTCTGCTTCTGCTACTGACACCTGATTATAGCCACTAGCCAAATCAAGCGTAGAGAACCAACCTGCCCCTGTCAGTGCATCAAGTGACTCCTCGATGCGAGGAAGGGGAAAAGCATCCTTCCTAGTTTTTGCATTTAACTGCCTGTAATCCACACACATCCTCAGGCTTCCATCTTTCTTCCTGGCCAGCACAATAGGGGATGCGTAAGGACTACTGCTCTCCCTTATCACCTGTGCTTCCAACAGCTGGTTGATGTGGTCCTTAACCGCCTCATAGTCAGATGGTGGGATTCGCCTGAACCGCTGACGGACGGGAACATCGTCCTGCAGGGGGATTTCATGTACAACCGAGTTAGTGCAACCAAGGTCTCCATCATGGGCAGAGAAGACAGAGTCATATCGTGTCAGCAATGACCTTACAGTCTCCTGGTCACCTACAGAAAGGTTTGACAAGTCCAGCTCATTAAGCTGATCTGATGTTACCTCAGATCCCAGCTGGGATGCCACTGTCGCCTCATGGAGGGGAACCTCTGTGATGCCGCGTGGGAAGCTTGAAACTCCCACTTCCACCACTGTACCCACCCTGGTCCGAGGGTAGAGAAAGACACCCGTACTCCCCACATTAATAACCATAATATGGGTGACCCCTCTCTCCACCCGTACCAAGGCTGGCGAGGAAAGTAGGCCAGCAGGGAGGCCAAACACTGGTGGTTCGAACAGTACGCTCTTACCTGAGAACCGATCGGCACAGGTAGTAGCCACCACTTTCATTGTGCCAGCCGGAATTTG